CCGAGGGGGCGGGCAAGGGGGCCGAGGGGCGGGGCGCGGCGGGAAGCACAGTCAAGTGCAGCGAGGGGTGCTGCGGGCCACGCGGGCCCCTCACCTTGTATAGGGTGGGTGCCGTTGTCCAGGTAGGTAGTGGTGGTCTTCTCTGCTTCATCCATGGCCCTGAGGAGGAAAGGCGAGGGATGAGCAGGGATGGGGATCCCCACTCGTGAGGCTCGGCTGGCACACCTGAGTGTGCCACCGAGAGGTATCCATGGCATGCACCTGTTGAAGCGCTGGTGCACCTCCCAGCACCGTTTGCAGAGCAGAAGAACGCCAGACAGAACCACCAGTGTGCCCCCGATGAACAGTGACATCACCACCACCAGCAGCACGTAGTTGTCCAAGATGGGGTCGGGCTCCGCCTAGGAGTGGTGGTTGGGTGGGGGTTGGCACAGGGGGAGGTGGCAAGGTACGTCAGGGCTCCACTGCACGGTGGGCTTTCCATGCCACCCCACCCCCGGCCTCCAGGAGTCGCCCACCCACCGTGGGGCGGCTAGTGGCATTGTCCCACGAAGTCGTCAGGGCAACCGTGGCGGCGGTGGTGGCCTCAGTGGCCATGGTGGCCGTGGGCTGCATTCTGAGGCTACAAGTAGGGCATAGAGCCAGCTCAGGTTCAGCTCTGCCAGCCCCTCCCCACTGGAGCCCCTGCTAGCCAGCCCCCATCATCCCCGTGCAACGCCAGCCGCTGCCGTCACTGGGGTGACTCATGGACAGGTGGGGCCCGAGTCTTGCTCTGTGAGCCACCCCCACGCTGCCCCCCCCCCGAGAGCGTCTGGAGCCAGGGCTTTTTTTCCCAGGGCCTCTCTTTCGCCATCTTTATCTCATATTAAGTGGCACCGCGCGTGCGCAGCAGTGTGAGTGTGTCTGTGTGTGTGCGCGCGCGGGAGCGCGCCCTCGTGTTTGTGTACATGTCTGTCTGTCTGCGTGCAAGTGGCTCTCCCACATCCCAGCCATCCATCGCCCTGGCTGGCCGGTGTGGCCAGCCCAGCAAGGTAGCGCTGCCATGCCCAGGCGAGGGGCAGCACCCTTGGAGGCGGGGGCATAAAGCCCCCCACAGCACACTCAGCCGAGGTTCCAGGCGTTCTTCGTGTCTCAGGGTCCATTGGGCAGAAAAAGGATTGAAGGCAGCGCACCTGGGGTGCGGGAGGGGCTGCACCCCAGTCACGACTCCAGAGGGAAAGGGCCCTGTGCCCCACAGTGGTGGGAGTGGAAAGGACAAAAGACGCTCATCTCTTCCTGGCCTGAAAATTCTGGTTCCCATGGCGACGGTGTGCAAGGCCGCGCGGGGGGGGGGCGTTGCCAGGCAGTGGGAGGCAGGCGGGGGCGCGGGGGAGGCCGCCCGCAGCGGCGCCCCGAGCTATGGCCAAGATGGCTGCTCCACCAGGCCTCAGCCTGCAGCGTGGGGAAACTGAGGCTAGGGCACGTTTCTGGGTGGGGGGAGAGCTGCTCAGAATTGCACCTGCCTCACTCAGGGAATGAAGATGATTCTGGGGTGTCAGGGAGTGCTCTGGCCAGTCATCCCTAGCTCCCACACCGAGCACGCCAACACCTACCCCCACAGAAAAAAGCCCGCAGGCTCCAGCGTCGCCAGCGCCTTCCGACTGGACGGCGGCGGCTGGGGGAGCCTGAGACCCAGAAAAAACGAATACGCCCCCAGTGCGCTCCCGGGCAGGGGACCGCGGGCGTCAGTTTTGGCGGGCGGCAAGGGGCATAGATGTAGGTCAGGGAATGAGTTCAGGCTGGAGGGGGGTGGGGCATGGCGAGGATGGTGATGGGAGTGACGCGAAGATGGCTGGAGACCCAAAGCGAGGAAGGAGGGGTCATGAGGGCCAGCGACGACGTCAACCTAGACAAGGGGTCCCCACAGGACCCCCCCCCAGTAGGAG